CCGGCTGTTGCCGTGGGAACGGGAGGGACGGGGAGGGGCCGTCCCCGTCACCATGGCAACCGGCACCCGGAGAGATGGCTGTCCCCGTCACCATGGCAACCGTCAGCCCAGGAGACAACTGTCACCCCAAGAGACAGGCCTGTCCCTGTCACCCACCGTGAAAACCCTGTCACCCACAGCCACTGTCACCCACAGTGACAACCTGTCCTTGTCACCCAGGGCCACTGTCACCCTGAGAGACAGCCTGTCACCCACGGCAACCATCACCGGCAGTGATGGCCTGTCCCTGTCACCCACAGGCCACTGTCACCTCCAGTGGCTCCCTGTCCCTGTCACCCATGGCAACTGTCAGCCTGAGAGGCAGCCTGATCCTGCCACCCACAGTGACAACCCTGTCACCCACAGCCACTGTCACCCTCAGTGACAACCTGTCCCTGACACACATGGCAACCATCATCCGCAGCGACAGCAGCCTGTACCTGCCACCCACAGGCCGCTGTCACCTCCAGCGAGAACCTGTCCCTGTGATCTACAGCCACTGTCACCCACAGTGACAACCTTCACCCTGCGATACAGCCTGTCCTGCCACCCACCGTGACAACCCTGTCACCCATGGCCACTGTCACCTCCAGTGACAACCTGTCCCTGTCAACCACAGCCACTGTCACCCTAAGAGACAGCCTGTCACCCACAGTGACAACCCTGTCATCCACAGCCTCCGTCACCCCCAGGCGTTACCACCCACACCGATAGCCCATCCTGTGTCACCCATGGCTCCCATCACTCTTGGTGACAGCCCATCTCCTGTCACCCGCGGTATCTTGTCACCAGGGTGACAGTCCCATCCCGCCATCCCCAGCCACCGTCCCTGTCCAACACAGCCCGTCACTGTAGGGTGTCACCACCATGACACCATCTGGGGCCTCTGTTCCCCCCCGCGTCCCCTAACGATGTCCCCATGGGGGTCCCCGGTTCAGACACCCGGGGCAGCCCCCGGCGGGGTGCCAGCATGCCTGGGCTGTACGGGGACATGGGGACGCAAGGACATGGGGACATGATGACATGGGGACATGGGGGACATGGGGATTGGGGACACGGGGACGTGGTGACGTGGGAATATGAGGGAAAGAGGGACATGGCTATCCAAGGACAGAGGGACGTGGGGACATGGGGATGGGGGGACATGGGCATGGGGGGGATTTGGGGATATGGGGACATGGGAGACATGGGGAGCATTGGGGACACGGGGGACATCGGGACACGGGGGGCATCTGGACATGGGGACACAAGAATGCAGGGCCATGGGGACACAGGGGGCAAGAACAGGGGGACATGGGGGACGGAGGGACATGGGGACACGGGAATATGGGGGACAAGTGGCCAGAGGGCCATGGGGATCACAGGGACAAGGGGCCACGCGGCCATTGGGACACGCGGGCATGGGGAG